GCCACCTCATCAGGAGCATGCCCAGGCGTTGTAGGGAGGTCATACGGGCACGTGGAGGCCACACACACTACTGAACCTCCTTTTGACTTGTTTTGAGGACATTACATCAAAGTTGGATCAGCCTGTAGTGTTGTTTTCCACTTTAATTTTGGGTGTCACTCCAGATCCAGACCTCCATGGGTTGCTAAATTTGATTTCCATTGATAATTTCTGTGTGATTTTGTTGTCAGCACATTCAACTATGTAATGAACAAGGTATTTAATAAGAATATTTCATTCTTTCAGATCTAGGATGTCTTATTTTTGTGTTCCCTTTATTTTTTTGAGCAGTGTATTTATCTGGACATACCATGTAATAATGATGATTACGCCTGCAGCTACAACAGAACATTGTTGAAAATGTACAAATATCCAATTTCCAATAGTTTGGCTGGCACAAGTCTAAAGGATCATATAAGCCTCAATTGAAGTGGCTTTGGTAATCAACTGCCTAACCTTAATCTATTTACACTTTTGAGAGGGGTCATTAGGCCTACAAAACGGATTGCATTGTAGGTGATTTTGATTGATGTGTTGTAACTCACTTACGTACAGCATACATCGTGCAAAATAATTTAGTTTATCTGTGATCAATATGGCCCACGTTATAATTTAACAATCAAATTACTGCAGACTGCTTGCATTTCAAGGGTACCTTACACCCTAATTGCATGTGTCTATTGACTGATGAAACGTCCAGACAATTCGATGTAACAACAGTTCCTTTTAGTCACACGCATATTACAAAATTCTTACTCATAGTACACATTTCTAGTGTTGTGATTCGTATTATTAACAGTGTCCACAGCCTCACACAGCTTAAAATAAACTCAAAGGAACATGTGAAAAAATGTAAATCATACATATAGGGGTATCATATAAAGCAGCACTAACACTTCCACGGCTAATCGGAGTGGCTTGTCCTTGCACCAACTGTGTTCATGAGTTCGCTTGCCAGACAGCCAATCAGTGTCAGTACAGTAGGCAAAAGTCGTGACGTCGCCTCGACCTGATGTGTGCAAATCAGCGGCAGCCAGCGTGCTGGTGAACACCAATCAGAGCGTTCCAACGAGCAGCTGCTCTGCCAATCGTGGGTCTCCACGACAGGGAAGAAGGACCACTTATATAGAAGAAGCACCACTTGTTCAACATCATTTCATGAAGGAAAGAATAAAGAAAATATTAGAGAGAAAGGCACTTTGCAGCAAGAGGCTGGTACCGCGGAAGAAACGTCAAGGCCGTTAATTTACAGATAATACTCTGAGGTAAGTATGATGCGGCAACGTGATGTTGTGTATTTTCTTCAGCTCTGAACGTCATTTTAAGGCAGTTTTATAATAATGAAGTCAGCTAAGCTGAAGTTAATGTTTGTCGATAGGTATATAACGTTATTTACCTGAAGTAACAGCTTTCCTTTTTTAAATCAAAGGAGCATTTGCTATGACTGCGATATAAGTTACCATATGAAAAGAACATAACGTTAGCGTTACTCTTAACTGTTCATTGTTGGTACGGTATTTTTCCTCGTGTCTGCTAGGCGTGCTAACGTGGTTTGCCCATTGACTATCAAAGGGTTTTCAAACTACCGGTGTTATGTCAAAGTCTGTTCCCCGTCGAAATGTGTTTCCCATTGTTACTGCCTCTGAACCCTACCTATTCTCCCCCAGCCACCCAGGGGGCGCTACAGGAAATACGGTTAATATGGGTGTAGGGGAACGCTTCTCTTCGGGCAATATACTTCGACACAGCAACAAGAAATTAAAACAATTAAGAGGCAGCAGTGCTCCACTCGGTGTACTCCTATTCTGTCAGTGCATATTATTGACAGAGATTTGTTGGCTAATGGTGTTCCTGTTAATTATGAATATGAAGCCCACTAAATGTTACATAACTCACTGGTAGGTGTGTGCACATGGCAAGGGCACGTTTTTACAGTGTACTTTTTTTGGCAGGTTTCTTTGTAAATCTGACTACAAACAGGCAAAGATGAAGCTGTTATGGGTTGTAATGCTGATGGTCGGCACCGTGTTTGCCGATGATGACGACAAGAAGGAGAATGTGGGGACTGTGGTTGGAATCGACTTGGGGACCACCTACTCGTGGTAAGAAAACTAACTTGTGCCCTGACTGCTTTAGAAGGCAAAATTTTGATCCAAGTTTGAAATGAAATACCAGAAAAATATTTCTTTTAAATAATGAGCTCAAATATTTGTCTGTCTGTAGTGTTGGAGTGTTCAAGAATGGCCGTGTGGAGATCATCGCCAATGACCAGGGTAACCGCATCACCCCTTCATATGTGGCCTTTACCAGCGAAGGTGAGCGTCTGATTGGTGATGCTGCCAAGAACCAGCTGACCTCCAACCCTGAGAATACCGTCTTTGATGCCAAGAGGTTGATTGGCCGCACATGGAGTGACCCCTCTGTGCAACAGGACATCAAGTACTTCCCCTTCAAGGTGCTGTAGATTTCTGCTCTTGGCAGTTTAAAGTAAAAGTTATCTGGTCTAAAGGTTTTGATCTAATGTTTGTTCAACTTACTTGGTATATTCATGCTGATGCACATTCCTCTTTAGGTTACTGAGAAGAAGAGCAAGCCCCATATCCAGATTGACATTGGTGGTGGCCAGATGAAGACATTTGCTCCTGAGGAAATTTCTGCCATGGTGCTGGTTAAGATGAAGGAGACTGCTGAGGCCTATCTGGGCAAAAAGGTAATAAATGAATAAATAAATAAACAAATAAATAAATCAGGAGTTTTTCAATCAGTTAGTGGTCCACAAAAGCATTGCAAATGGTCCGTGACCACACATTCAATAATTTTAATTCACTGTAGGAATCAGTTTTTAAAATTGTATTTTTAAACACTTTAGTATATTGATTATTTGTGCCTAAACAAAAGCAAATATAAGGTTTGGAAAAGTCAAGGTAACTTTCAGGATTAAAATAATGCTCATTTGGTTTATCTACTCAATAACAGTGGTCTTTGGGTTACTTAGTCAGAGTAGTGGTCCCTGGGTTACAATTAGTTGAAAACCCCTGATTTAAAGAAAATATACCAAAGACTGTTGTACTCATAAATAATATAACTGAATCTAATGTTATCTTTTTCTCAGGTCACCCATGCTGTGGTCACTGTTCCTGCCTACTTCAATGACGCCCAGCGCCAGGCTACTAAGGATGCTGGAACCATCGCTGGTCTGAATGTTATGAGAATCATCAATGAGCCGTATGTGTCATTGGAAATGTTTTAATGATCTTATGTCCTTAAAAATTGTGTAAATATTTCCCTCCCTTTCTCTAAAATTTTCTCACAATTGTCTTTAGGACTGCTGCTGCCATTGCTTATGGCCTGGACAAGAGGGATGGCGAGAAGAACATTCTTGTATTTGATCTGGGTGGTGGCACCTTCGATGTCTCCCTTCTAACCATTGACAATGGTGTGTTTGAAGTGGTGGCCACCAACGGTGACACTCATCTGGGAGGTGAGGACTTTGATCAGCGCGTCATGGAACACTTTATCAAGCTGTACAAGAAGAAGACTGGCAAAGATGTGCGCAAAGACAACCGTGCTGTGCAGAAGCTGCGTCGTGAGGTTGAGAAGGCAAAGAGGGCGCTGTCTGCCCAGCACCAGGCCCGCATTGAGATAGAGTCCTTCTTTGAAGGAGAAGACTTCTCTGAAACCCTGACACGTGCCAAATTTGAAGAGCTGAACATGGTGAGTTAATGCAGTAATATGAGGACATTGATAATGACACAATCACATCTGGCCTGGTTTTAGAAAACATAGTTTGACTTCTCTTAACCTTGTGTTTTTATTTGTTTTTTTATCTTATCCAGGATCTCTTCCGTTCCACTATGAAGCCTGTACAGAAGGTTCTTGAAGATGCTGACCTGAAGAAGTCTGACATTGATGAGATTGTCCTGGTTGGAGGCTCCACTCGTATCCCCAAAATCCAGCAGCTGGTGAAGGAGTTCTTCAATGGCAAGGAGCCTTCTAGGGGGATCAACCCTGATGAAGCTGTGGCATATGGAGCTGCTGTGCAGGCTGGAGTGCTTTCTGGAGAGGAGGACACTGGTGAGCTATCACCCTTATTCATTTTTTTGTTCCATTGAACTTTGTTTTTATTTCAGTTACTAATTGTTTTCTTCTTTTGCAGGTGATGTGGTTCTTCTGGATGTGTGTCCCCTGACTCTTGGTATTGAGACTGTTGGAGGAGTAATGACCAAACTGATTCCCAGGAACACTGTGGTGCCCACCAAGAAGTCCCAGATCTTTTCTACAGCATCTGATAACCAGCCTACTGTCACTATTAAGGTTTATGAAGGTAATTTATGATTTAAATTTAATGGCAGTCATTTAACATTCACACTTTCATTGTATGCACAACATTTCCATATTATCCAGGTTTTTTTTTTTAATGTAATTTTTTTTTTTTTTTTTTTTTTTAAATTAAAGGTGAGCGTCCTCTGACAAAAGACAACCATCTGCTGGGCACCTTCGACCTGACTGGCATCCCTCCTGCCCCTCGTGGTGTGCCACAGATTGAAGTGACCTTTGAGATTGATGTCAATGGTATTCTGCGAGTCACAGCTGAGGACAAGGGCACAGGCAACAAGAACAAGATTACAATCACAAATGACCAAAACCGTCTCACACCTGAGGATATTGAGCGCATGGTGAACGATGCAGAGCGCTTTGCCGATGAGGACAAGAAGCTGAAGGAGAGGATTGACTCTCGCAATGAGTTGGAGAGCTATGCCTACTCTCTGAAGAACCAGATTGGTGACAAGGAGAAGCTTGGCGGCAAGCTGTCAGATGATGACAAGGAAGCCATTGAGAAGGCAGTGGAGGAGAAGATTGAGTGGCTGGAGTCGCACCAAGACGCCGATCTGGAAGAATTCCAGGCCAAGAAGAAGGAACTGGAGGAGGTGGTTCAACCCATTATCAGCAAGCTTTATGGAAGTGCGGGAGGACCACCACCTGAGGGTGCCAACGATGAGAAGGATGAGTTGTAGATAAATCTGATTTCAGCTCTTCTGTTCCCTCTTACCTCTCTGACAGTGGCACCTAGACATATATTGAACTGATGGGACTCATTAATGAGAGGAATGGCTGGGAAGGGGTGGCAGTAACAAGCAACCATACTGAATTTTCAGAGACTTTGAAATAAGTTGGTGTGAGAGGTGTTCTCTTCGCTGGAAGGCGGAGATATCTCAACAGCTAAACATTATTTATTGAATCTGGTCAATGTTCTTCTGGAACAAAGCTGAAATAAACATTTGTTATAAACTGTTTCTCTTTCATTCATTTACTGTACAGTTGTAGGGTACACCACTGGACACAAAACACTTCCTTTTTTTTTTTTTTTTTTTTTTTGTACATTGTCCTACACTTAGAAATGCCACTGGCTCAAATGATTAATATTTCAGCTTTTTCTTTCAATCCAATATATGCTATTCTAGGATGATGTTATAAAATATTCATTTCAGCTTCTACACAAGCTTCCAAATTAAGTTAATTTCTTGGCCAGTCTTTGAGTTTCCAATAAAAACAAATGCAAATACTATGTAGTGCTAGACCAACCTTTTATTAAAACTTAAATATAACAGCACCAAGGCACATCATGTCAACACAGTCACAATACAGTCATTGTATATGACACCCTGGGTGTCCATCCCTCCAAATACAAAGGCCAGATGTATGGTCTGTGAGGCTGCTGGGCTGTTGGCTTGCTCTTCATCTCTGTCGCCCTCTCCACACACTTTCCATGGCAATAAACACATGGAGTGGTCTAGGCGGTTGGGTGGCATATCCCCTTGAAATTTCATGAGGAACCATCTACTTTTGTCTGCAAGTAGAGTAATGTCATAATATACACAAATTCATGCTTGGACTTTTAAGCTGAATTACTTCATTAATGTCTAAATGAACAAGTATAACTTGCTGTAATAAAGTACTAAATGCAAACCAATATTCTGTCCCATAGATTAAAGGTAGCATACCAGTGTTGAATCTGTACATGGAGTTGCTGGCTCCATCTGCAGTCATCCCTCCAAAAATGTAGATGTTCTTGCCCAGCACCACAGCTGAGTGGGATGTGACTCCGGGTGGGATGTCTCCTTTGGGATGCACTTTCTCCCATTTCATGCTCCCTTTAAACGGACACATACAGCACTTTTATTTTTTTAAATAAATCATTTAAAGTGTCCCAGTCCAAAATTCTGTTATACATTTTCATCCTGTATGGTGATCATCTGAGATAAATGCAAGGCAGCTAATTGCCCTAAATTCTCTGACAGGGATTCAAGAGAGCTCATGCTTACTTGTGTCAAGAGAGTACATATCATTGTGAAATTTCTCTCCGGCCATGCCCCCGTGAATGTAGAGCTTTGAACCCACTGCTACGATAATGTGGCCATGTCTGGCTGTAGGATTTCTGCCTTGTGTTTCTGGCTGGGACCAAGTGGAAGACACTAGAACACATTTACATAAAATGTATTAATAGATCTGATTATTGTTACATTGTGGCATGTGAAAACTTAAAAAAAAAAATCACGTTGGTTGAGGTTTGTCCAGTCACATTCTGTACAAGCAATTATTTAGTTCTGAGCAATAACTGAAAAGGGAATAAGCCAATCACTGCCATTAGTTAATGCCAACAAGCCAGCATGCACAAGAAGTCAAATCAAAGCTAATTCCACTTCTTTACACTGCTATTATGATGTTAGGAAAGTGGTTTGTTTATTTAACACAAACCTGCATCAAAGACATGAAGTTTTTGGTCTGACACAGGTGCAGCTCCTGCTTCACCACCAGAAAAAACATACAGTCTGTCCCCATGGCAGGCTGAGTTGGTGTGGTATGTCCTGGGACAGGGGGGCATGCCATTTACAGATGTATTCTTCCAGTGAGATCCACTGTCTGAACAAGTATGCACACAACATAATGGATTCAGAGAGTAAAGGCCACACATTGTACAATCAATCTGTATGATCATAGCACAGCAACATTTCTCACAACATTGCTAAACCCTAAGTGGTGTTGTTATCCAAACAGTTCATATAAATTTGAGAGTGACAATCATGTAACATGGAGGTCAGAGTCTGCAGGTTGCCACTACAACCAAACTATAGCAAATAATTATATGGATCAGCACCACCTCTTTGAGTGGAGCAGTGTTAATCTTTGATGAACTCAATGCTAAACTACAAAAGATCACAGATAACTAGGTGAACTTTACCTGTTAGCTGTATATTCTGGATACAATTACGATTCCCAGTTTGCTGTGCCCCCCCAAACACCCAAAATCTGTGAGGGTAGCTCTCTGGCACAAAGCTGCAATGTTCATACCGTGGCTTCAAACCATCCCACTCTGGGATGTCCCATTCATGATTATCTGGTGGAATCATGGAATACAAATATTAATTTTAGCTTTATCTCAATTTGTTGTGAAGGGAACATTATCTATTATGAGTAAAATTATACTAAAATTAACAGATTCAGCACCAAAACATTTAAAATGCATTTCACAACCTCTTTTCCCTACCAGAAGTTTAAATTACTTAAATGTCATCACTGGTGACCATGAATTGATAACAAACCAATTAAGGAAATAAATAAATTAGCCTGGGTTATTAGTTGTTATCTTAGATCGACTTATTATATTCCAAATGAAACCTGTCCACAGATAAAATCAACTCAAAACAAATATTTTTATTGTAAAGTTTAGGGAAAAGTGACTTAACACACAAAGTTATGTAAAAGAAGTAAGACTGTAAAGCTAGTTTGTTGACATTTTTACCTAGATTTATAATATGTGAATGTGAGAAGCTGCCGCTGGGGTTGGCTCCTCCAACAATAAGGACTCTCCCTTTTTCTCCTTCTCCAGATGGAGTAAAGGTACAGGTGTGACCCACACTGACACCAGGAGCACTTCCCCTGGGTATCAGAGAATACCTGCTGACAACAAAAAATATTTGTAAAAGTAAAAACGAATCACCTTCTTCCAGTATAACTGATTAATATTAATTTACTTACCAAAGTCCTTCTTTGGGTTTATCTAGAGGTTCAAGAACTGGGAGAAACTCCATGACTGTTAAAGATAGTTGAATGAATATGATGTTAATATTTTGTTATTTATATTTGACGTCAGTGATCACCCCCTTATTGGTGGTGATCGTATAACAAAAAGCTCACAAAATACTAATACAAATTATTGTTAGTTATTGTGTAATTTAAAAAAAATATGGTGGTAACATTGTCGTAATTTTGAAAAGCTGATGGTATCCGCGTAGCTAAGCCCTTAGCTTATGTGAAAGCTAGCAACAATTGAAGCAGCTGAAAAGTCTAGGCCAAGTGATTATAAGTAATTAAATTATGAATACTATGTGTGAAATCGAGCTTATTCTAACGACTGTATCATGAGTGGGACCCATGTAGATCCACTTTGGAAACATACTGAGTATCATCAAGTCGCTACTTGCTAAGTTAACATAAACAAGCATGTTAGAACTCACACCCCACTAACCTTTACTTCCAGGTGGAAAGGCGATATACTAATTATCCTTGTCAATCAGCTGATGTCTGTATTCTTTGGCACCGTATTCCACACAATCACAGCAATATTTGTTGCGACATAAAATTGTAAATTTACCTTTAATAATCATCTCACGTACAACTTCTACACTGACACGGTACGCAGACTGTTACGTTGGCAACGTTAGTCGGCACAATTTCCGTAGTTGTCATGGTTGCCTGACGCGCATGCGCAGATTACTATCATAATCAGCCTATTGCTTAAACCCGCATCGAGTTACCTCTGCTCTCCTTTATGTATCTGTGGCTACCTCAAAGTTTATTTCACAACACGTGAAACAGTGTGCTTTCCTTGTATGGCTAAAAAAGAAGTTAAGAGGACTCAAAACAGTGTCTTCACCTAAAAAACCCTTATCTTCAACGTCAAGTAAAAAGGTAAGCTCCGGGTGTTAGGGGATATGTTTTCATTCCCACTAATTAGAAACACCTGAAAATGCACCTGCGTTAAAAAATGTTTACAGGTTCTAAACCAGGAGGAACTTGAAGTTTGGGAAATAGAGTAAAAATCTATTTTAAATGTTTATCAGATAGAATAATTTACATGCTTGTCCACCAACTGAAACCCATTTCATTCAAAAGATCCAGATTAACTCTAAAAAACATCACTTGAAAAATAAAGCAAATTTAGAATTTTTATATGTTGTCCTTTTATTGGATTTTGTTGGATAAAGGAATAAATTTTAGTAGCAGTGACCTAAAATTAAAATCTGTGAGTTTCACACTCATTTGCCAGTTCCCCACATTGCCTGTACACACAGTGAATGGCAGAGTAATGAAACAGCATTCAAGATGAAGCACCTACAGTACTTGTACTGTACAGTAGTGGTGGAAAGTAACTACAGTAAATACATTTACTCAAGTACTGTACTTAAGTATCTGTACTTGGGTGTTTTCATTTTGTGCTGCTTCACACTTTGACTTCAGTACATTTTGGAGGCAAATATTGTACTGGTTACTCCACTGCATTTTTTTCCTAGCTTTAGTTACTAGTTACTTTTCAGAACCAGATTAATACAAAATTTACAACATTGCATTTCAGACTATGCCCAGTAGGCTGTGCCATTGTATTTGCCTGGTCTGCCTGGGAGTCTGTTAGTCTGTCTGTATTCAGTAGTAAAGTAAATATAGTAATGCTACATGGTAGAAATATTTCACAAGAACTACATGTTTGAAAGGTAATGGTTATCAGCAAAATGTACTGAAAGTGTCAAAAGTAAAGGAACCTATAATGCAGCATAATGACTCCTGTCAGTGTCATAATGATATAGGCTATTGATGTATTAAAATCTAAGCCACATTTTAAATTTGTGGCAGGTCAAGGGTGAGCTAAGGTTAATTACTTTTGGGTAGTTTAATTTAATGCATCATATTTTATCATCATGGGTCATCACAGGTTCTGCCTCTAAAATATTGAGCTGCAAAGTGCTGTAACTTTTGATTGGCTGTCTAATAAATGCAGTGTAGTAAAAAGTTCAGTCTCTGTCTCTGAAATGTTCTAAGTACTTTTTGCATACTATTTTGCCTGTCATTTGTTATTTTGTTATACTGTAGGTAACAGACTGAAAAAGAAGCATCCTTTCAATATTTTCCAAAATTGTCTGTGGAAAATTTTACATTGGTGCTCCCAGTCCTAGAGCAAAATGTGCTTCACTGTGAAGCTGAATAGCTCTAGCTCATGCTTCCATGTCAAATAAAGAAGACAAAAACAGAAAAAGTATTGCAACAAGCCATAACCTCCATAGCAAGCTGACATTTTGTCATATACTCCTTGGAGATTTACAGCATCATCGTGGAAAGCCCTGCAGGCTGGAGCCCTTCCAGTCGTTCCAGACCCTTATAAAATCAATATGTCATCCTGAAATGGATAACGGATTCATGGTGTTGTTTTGATGAAGAGACTGTACATTCATCAGACAAGACAGGAACAAGACCACAACTCAAAACATTTTTGGTGTCAAAATCAGGTGTTCTTTCCCCTCGTTGGTGCCAGATGGATTTGTGGACTGATGTGGTTTGGAAAATTATTGCAGCTTCACCAGAAATCTTGCAGCATAATATTGTGTAAAAGAAGACGATACTGCCATCCTAAAAGAAACTACTGGTTACTACTGTCTACAGTCCTGATAAATGGTTACCTTCCATACTCATAGAATCAATAATAATTAATCTAATAGGTCAGTTAAATAAACTCAGGTTAACATGGTAGTGTTTTTAGTATAACAATTCACACAAATATGAAAATTAACTAGTTCTCATTGTCTTGTATCATATCTAGTAAATATTTTGGTTGCACAAAACAAGACATTGTCATTTTGGGCTCCATAAAACTTTGATGGACATTTTTCACAGTTTTCAACCTTAAAAATATGTAAATGTGTTTTTGGATTATTTAAAATGAACATTTGGCATTGTGGCAACTAGGTTTATAAAATCAACAATTACATGTGAATGGCCTAACATGGTGTACATGGCTAAAACATATAATCAGAGGATATATTATGATAAATATAACTATTCTTACTGCAAGAAAGCACACAGCAAGAGGCAGACAGTAGTAAGGACTTAAAATAAAACAAGCGCCAACTCTTTCTCTGCATTAAAGCCATGATAAATTTGTGAAGACTTGTGTGCCTTGTTTTATATTGATGGACTGCTATTGGAAACAATCACTGTCCAAAAATACAATAAAATGCGTGTTTATTTTTGTGTGTCTGGGTCTGAGACTGGCACATGAAAGTCCTGTTCTGACCAGGCTGTGCCACTGTAGTATTATCTGCCCAGTTTCTGCTTTAGGGAAGCAGAATATGAGTTTCAGAGAACTCCTTTGTTTTCTGTTCACTGCAACTGATAAGGGGCAAATGAATCAGGGGCTTTTTGTAGAAAGACAGAATGAGAGGAAAAAGGAAAATGATTATGCCTTTTTAAAGTTCCAAGGAAGGGACAAGACGCAGGAGAAAGAGATAATTGGAGATATATTTTCTGTCAACCCAAAATAGTTTCTGTGAGTGCATGGTACTGTTGCTGATTTGAATTTGGACACTGTGTGCGCTGGGCAATTGGGGAACTAGAGTTTTTTCAACCCAAAATAGTTTCTGTGAGTGCATGGTACTGTTGCTGATTTGAATTTGGACACTGTGTGCGCTGGGCAATTGGGAAACTAGAGTTTTTTTTGTTTTGTTTTGTTTTTTTTTTCCATTTCACCTTCATCTTGATTTGGATACCTTCTTGGTGGGTGGGCAGTTTGGTAATCAGGATTTAAATGGAAGGTTCATTTCTGGTTTACTGATACACTGTCACTGGGCAAGATGTGAAAACAATGTGTTATGGCTATTCCTGTTGTCACGTGTCACCCAGGAGTGTGTCAAGTCATGCTGTAAAGTAATCTGCATTATTGCCACAACCACAACAGCAGCTTGATTCTATCTGTTCTCACTGTTGATTTAATCTGGGTATTAAAAACATGTTTTTTGTCTTTTTATCATTGTTGTTTGCTCTGGATGATTCTATAGGCTTCTTTTTATGTTCTTTGTTCCTTGTTGACTTAAGTATTGTGTGTATTTTTTCAACTTACCATGTAACATGACAATCTTTAGTGTTAAATGAAAAAATGAATAAGTTAATTTATAATGAAACAAGTTCTGACCAGTGAAGCAAATGTTGAAAGACTTTATTTCCCTCTGGAAAATGCCAAATCAGTTCATGGAAACTGAGCTGCCATTGTTAGGTTAACCTTGGGCACTCATGTTTTAAATATTATTGTCTGTGCATATTTGTGAAATGTAGTCTGCAAATCTATCTGACAACTGCCAAGCACAATTGTAAAACACTGTGCGTGTAGCCGTATTGTCTTTGGTCAGCTCTAAATGGTGCTAAATCAATCAGCCCAGTGAAAACCAGGAAACTGAATTGTACTGAAGCATTGTTTTGTCTGACAATATTGTTTGACCTCAAATGCAAAGCCATCTGTTACCTATAGGTGGCTAATTAACAACAGGCAGATTAAACAGAATTAATAAAAAAAAAATTCAGATGAACCCTGTGAAACAACCATTTTGTGGTAGATGATTTAAAGACTAGCTTGATAATGTTGCTGTTGCTTTCTGTCCTTTACAGCTTCATTGATTATACATTTAGAGCAGATAATTATAAAATCTTGGCCAGAGGCAACACTCTTTGTGTAGATGAAGAAGCTGTGGTGTAACAGAATCAGTGATCCAGAATATAGAAACAAAGTACATTAGTGCATATTGTGCACATGCACATTTAATGATTTTGTGGGTAATAAAATATATCTGTATGTCTGTTGTGTGGATGGTGAATACCGAACAATTATTGTGATCAAGAATTGACTGCTAAAGCCAACATGACTCTTGGAAAATGAAACAGTTGAACCCTGTAATTGCCAGATATGGTAATAGGTCATATCCTACTACCAAATCGGGCATGACGTATAACTGAAGTCAATGTAATGATACAACCATTTCTGAACATTTAGTAAAATGTCTTTTCTGTGTTCTTCCTCACTCGGTTTTTAACTTCATGCATATGCATGAACGTGCACGTGCGCACACACATACACACACATTCATGTATGAGCAGCGAGGTGAGGTCCAGGTAAATGTACATTGGGAGTGAGGACCACCATTTCTGCTATACTTACAGACAAATGCATGCTACGTTTCAACACTAGAGGGCTCACTGACTCCCATTTTCACCTCAGCTTATGGAAAAATCACAGGGAAAAAGTAAGCATTCAACCACTGGAGTGAGGACCTTTTGATGGGGGACGCTATTGTGCTTGCTTCTTAGTAGATGATTTTAATTATCTTTGTTTTTTAGTTTTGTTCCCCTTTAGCTTTCTAATATATCTTTGAAAAGAATTGCACTCTTTGGGGATCATAGATAAGCAAAATGCCTACATGAACATTGTGACTATAGACCAGGCTATTGTATGAAAGTGCAGATTTACAAAACACTTCAGCAAAATACACATTACCAAAAAACATCAAATAAAGCTACAAGACAGGTCAACTACAGTAAACAGAATTGCATTTATTTAAGTTTGTTAAACTTTAACTCTCTCACAACATCCATCCTGCATATACTCTAGGGGGTTGCAGAAGAGCTGTTGCCAAGCCCCGATGAAG